TTATTATAATATATTATAATATAATAATAATATAATATAATTAAAGAAGATGATTGTGATATTAAAAAGATAATTTTAATTTTCTTATGTAGTTCAAATTAAAAATCAGAAATTTACTTTTTCGCATTTAATTCTTTTACTATGTTTATATAATGCTTTATATTACAAAGAGATCCGTTCTAAAAAGATATTCTCCTCTGTAAACAGCACATGCAAAAAAGGATAATCCGAAAAAATTGGAAAACAACAAAAAATCGTTGTTTTTCATCTGAAATTCTAAATAGAAAGAACAATTTTATGGAAATATCTAAAAAATCAGTTAGTCACAGATCTGAAAAGTTTGGAGATCATCAAAATAATTATATAGAATTCAAATATAGTAATGCTATGAAAAATTTTATATTTTAATAATCAACTTGTGCGTTCTACATAATTATTTTGATAGTTTACCAAAATTATATTCAAATCTGTATTTAAAATTAAATTTTTAGATATTTTATAGCAAAACTTCTCTGTGTACGTCAACTAAAAATTTGTTCTCCAGTTTGACGAATATTCAAATCTTTCATGAATCTTTTTTAACATCCTCCGCGTTTCATAGTGCACGCACACGTGGACGCATGGACGCATCAATGACCGTGCGCACTATCGGTGATGTTGCACGTCCAGCCACCCACATGCGAACACCCGCTGACACACGTGAAAGAGAGAGAGAAAGAAAGAGGAAGAAGGAGTACACGACACGCGAAGGAACACGCGACACGCCACGGAGAACACGCGCAATTTCGCAACGCGCGAAGAATGCCGCGAGTGCAGCTGTGAGTCGTTCGCCGGTTCGCTCGCTCGCCTGACCGTTCGCTCTTTGGCATCCGGATTCCAACGTGAGGAAACCCCGAGCGAATCGGATAGAAGCCGCCGCGCCGAGCCGAAGAAGATCAGATCGCAGCTCGCGAGGGACGGTAATCATCCGAATTCGACCATCTGCGTTTGCTCGCGGGGAGAGAAAGATAGGGAGAGGGAGAAAACACAAAAGGACCCGAGGAGAAGCCGGAATTCGGTAGTAATAACGGTATACGGGAAGCTCAGCGTAGGCGGACGTCCTTGATTCCGATGATAGTGATCGAGACTCCTCGCCTCAGCTCTGTCCCTTCCCGGACACCTCCTCGCCTGATTGGGCTGCGACGGAACTGGATTGCAGGACCGGTCGCGCAGTCACGTGTCGATGACTTTAGCAGGAATCGATGACCTAGGGGGAAGTATCTTTCTCGTGATTGGGCCGGAAGAAAAAAATCTTGAAATCTCGCGCGTCGTGTTTTATAAATATTTATATTTGATAAGTATAAATAATTTATAAGTACATATATTTTTTTCTGTATATATGTATCATATATTTATATTTTTAATTCTGCAGATATCTTTCACCAATGTATATTACATCTCTGCAAAAGTTCAAAGTTTAAATGTGTAATAAGTATACCTTCGTATTATGTGTTTTGATTTAATTTGTTTTGCATAAAAAGTGGATTTATAAAATAATTATGTAGGGAATTAAAAATGAACAATGCTGCGAAAAATTTTGATATTTTAGCAATCAGCTTGAGCGTTCTATATAACTATTTTGTGATTAATCAACAGAATTATTTTTAGATTTGTAAATTTGGTTCTACTTAAATTTACATATTTAAACGTGCAGTATGATGTTTTATTTTCAGAACTAAATTACACGTATATAAAGCACTTATCACACACTGGATTTGCAGTGAATAAATGACGCATAAAATCATACGTGAATTTCTATTCCGATTTCTGCCATTAATTGTCGGAAAAGAAAGGAGATCCGAAATAGCGATGGCTCCCGAAAAAAGAGAGATTTGCTGCCGTGTAGATCGCGATAAAAGCCGCGAATAATTCATGCCATTAATAATCTTATCGACAAACCGGCGCTACCATTTAAACGATCCCAGGCGGATGCAACATCGATCAACCGCGCATCGCGAAAGACTGACAAATTATTGTCC